TCACAATTGTCTTCTTTATCCGGCTGTAATTAGTGCATTGTTTGGCAAGCTTACTTCGATAGCTTAATCGAAGGTATGAAGACCAAGATAGTGTGGCCTTTTGTGTTCGCAGTCTCCTGTCGTTGTATATAAGTTGCTTGACCTTGTTTTCACAACTTGGTCATATTGGTAGGAAGACTTAGAGGAAAGCACTGAGTTCGGAGTCCATTGCATGCATGATAATTTCCAGAGTCGACAGTGGACGTGGAACATTCTTAGACGTTTCGTCGGCATAGTCAGTGAGTCTTGCCAGTCTTAGTATTAAACAAGTGAAGACGATCCTTCGACCAATTGTCAGCTAAACAATCGTGATATCTCTCCTTACCCCCTAGGCTAATCACCAATCCTATATCCTATTATCAAGTCTTCACTATCGCAATTTTTTACTTGCTTATTTAAATGCGGTATGGTATGCCAATTTGAGCTGCTGTCATGAGAACTCTCCAAACTCCACGCTGGCTTTCTCACACCCCTCATCTCCCTTCACTCCTGTGCTTGGAATGTCGATCAGTCTGCCACATTGTTACGCAGTCCTCCTCCAAGGTTTTATCAGAGTCTCCCTCTTACCTCGTATGATAACTTTGCCATATCCCTGATTCAAGTATTTCACTCGATCGCTGCCACCTCATCTGTGCTACTCGAGGCATTATTCACCACACCCTGCCTCTGGGAGACTAACTCGACTACATAATTCTCATGGACAAGTCTTTGCTCTATAGACCACGTTTATTGTAAAGCGGGCCTACTATCGGCCAACTATCTCTGATCACCGCAACGTCTATTCTATTTCTATCCATGATACCAAGTCAATGACTTCCTATTCCCTAGTCTCTTGTGTGCCAACCCACAAGTCTCTCCAACATAAAAACGACCAACTTTTTTTCGCATATATTATATACATATGGTATAAATTCTTATCAACTTTCTTCTGGCTATACGAAAATCAAGAAATCTATATCCCGGCAAATCAATACTATAAGATTTTTAAAAATTTGTATTTCACATAATGTAGTTCCTAGATGTTGTATTCTTGGTAGACGTCCAGATTTACCTATTCCCACTAATAGGAAACTGGAGCATGTATCAGGTAGTTTGGTTAAGACTAGACTCAAAGAAAGTATAGACAAATTACATGAACTGATTATAACCCAAACAAGGACTAGACTATCCCTTTCTCAGCTATTTTCTCAAGAAGACTATTAAAAA